AGACTCTGATGACCCAAAAAGGCTCCAGGAAATACATCCACTGATTAGGCTGCACATTATTATATTGAGAATTATCATCGTTACTCTTTCCCGGAAGAGAAATTCAATCTTCTAACCAAAGGTTATTAAGCAGGGTTTTTATTGGTTTTTTTCTTTTTCTATTAGTAGTCTCGGCTGATTTAAAGCTAGTGAAAGATAAAAATTCTTCGTAGATCTACTAATCGATTTAATTTCTTGCTGATGTCATCCAAATATTACTAAAAAATACTTAAATGGAAAGTCAGGAGTATGTCCATATCAAAACAACCCCTTCTCAAACATACTACTCAGTGATATCTGGTAAAAGAATCCTTTGGACCAGTAGTTGAACAAAAATGACTTAGAGGAAATTACATTAGGACACAAATACCGTAATTGATATATTTACTGACAAACATCCTATAACAATTTTATTAGAATACTATATTAATCACTACTTTAATTCATTACATTTATGAAAAATACATTAATGTAAATAACACTTCTCTTCTAAGCCAAAACAGATAATTTAAAATCTCCAAAACTCGGAATCTTTGAAGCTATTAGTTCTAACTCTACTAAGAAAGTGAGAGAGGAAAGAATTACATAATCACAATCATACAACAGAAACTCCAAAATTAATAAGAGAAATGGGAAATTAGTTATACTAGAGGAAGAAAACAGTAACATTAAAAAAACAAGATTCATGGGGCCGGCCCAATGGCGCAGTGGTTAAGTGCGCACGTTTCATTTCAGCGGCCCGGGGTTTGCTGGTTTGGATCCCAGGTGTGGACATGGCACTGCATGGCAAGCCATGCTGTGGTAGGCGTCCCACATATAAAGTAGAGGAAGATGGGCACAGATGTTAGCTCAGGGCCAGTCTTCCTCAGAAAAAAGAGGAGGATTGGCAGATGTTAGCTCTGGGCTAATCTTCCTCAGGGGGGAAAAAAAAAAAGATTCATCGTTAACTTTGAAAATATCTACGGTTCACAGAACTCACAATACTACCAAAAAAGCAACTATAGTACAACACAAAGATTCACCTACAGAGGAATAAAACTATTGCTTCCCTATTTATTCAGTTTTCCCTATTTATTTATTCCACATATTAGCATGCTCTCAAAAAGCTTACAAAGCATTGCACTCAGGAGCACTAATTTCCCTCTCCTTGTCTTCCCTTCTTCCTTTTCCCATAATAGAAATAGCTCTCCAATTCTAATAAGTTAGTTTTGGAAGAAAAATGAGCAATTATTGACATCTGCTGAAAAATACTTCGAACTTGAACCACCATCAGAGCCAGTTAAATGAGTTACACAAGAAAATATGCTACAGGACTTTACAGACACAACTTGCTTTTGACCTAAATGGAATTACCACTCAGCTTCATCATCTTATTTGTCTGTCTTGACTGAGAAAGACTTTTTGGCTGTTTCTAAAAAAATCAAAGCTATCTTAGAAAGAAGGTAGATTTGCCATTCCTGAGGCTATTCCTCTGAAGCACAGGTTCCACTGTGAACCTTTAACAGCTCTAGGCATATCAGGGAACTAATGGGGTGCCCTTCCATAAACCTACATTCATTTGAACAATGAATCTACTGGGAAAGAATTCATGTCTATTAAGTAAAAGTCCAAAGGACACAAGTCTGAATCAAAGACAACAGGACAGAGGAGAGGGTGCTTTCTGAATTGTACATGGTACTGGTCCCCAGTGGACTCAGGCCTGAGTCCTAAAGGAAGGAGCTACAGTAAAATAGATGCTTTACTATTACAGCTGTGGGACATTGAGAACACAAGGCCTCAGCAGCCTGGGTACCAGCAGCAAGAGACAACCCCTCAAAGCGATGAGGAACTATACAATCAAATACCTCCAGGGACCAGGCAACTCACAAAAATGATTAAGTGATGTGGGAGAGGACTGTGGTGAACTGGAGACTGTAGGCCTCACCAGCAGGGGGCAGCCCTATTCAGCTCCAGCAGATTGTCGCCCTAAGAGGGTGAAAATCTACTGCTGCCAAAACCTCAAGAGAAGCCTGAAATCCAAAATGTGTAAAATAAAATCTCCAAGGTTTTAAATGTTAGCAACCAATTCAATTGCTTAAAAATACTTTGCTGGCCTTAAAAATACATCCACAGTCAAACTCATGACCTATGAAGTGGAGCTAGTGCCCTCAGCACAATAGGTCAACAGTACTGCTCATGCCTGCATCACACATCAGCAATGACATTCATAGATATAAGCAGTGGTAAGGTATTTGTGATCATCAGGGGTGAAAAATACCACAAACACCGGCAGCAGAGCAGCTACTTTTGATGTTCACCTATTCTGCACCTGCTCCAAGGAATCTGAACCAAGCCTAGAGAAAAAACACACATACACACAACCATGTTGACTGGTCTCAGTTTATATTCATTACCACTAATCTCGAGTGGTCCCTTATTGCTGTCTGGCAATAATATATATAATACATAACATGTGTAAATATATATGTATGTATATACACACACAATATTATGTATATATTTCCCCAAATAACTATTTTACACCAAACTCTCTCTCCCCAAATCTCTAACAGCTCCCCATCTCCACTCTGCTAATGACTTTGCTTCCTACTTCACTGAGAAAACAAGCAGCATTTGAAAAATAACTTCCACATGCTCTGATCACCACATCTAACAACCTACCTACATCTGTATCCACATAGCCTCTCTTCCCTCCAGTTACTATGGCTACTCTTATGTACTCAATCTCTCTACTTGGTGTTGGATCCCATCCCCTCTAGCGTTGTACTCAAAGCCCTTGCTCCAGTAACTATACCTCTTTCTCTCCTTACACCATCAATTGTCAACTCTCCCTGTTTGCTGGTCACTTCCATCAGCACACTAGCACGCTATATAACCCCTGCATCTGCGGTAGGCAGCCTCTAAGACGGCCCCCAGTGATCAGTGTCCCTGGTATTAACCTTCTTGCAATGACCTCCCCTACATTTGACTAGGGATCTGTGTGAACAACAGAATATGACAGAAACGGTAGGACATAGTGTGTCAACTAATCCCATATCCTTTCACTTGCTTCTCTGCAAGTATTTCACATTTATTTAATAAACCATGTGATATGAGCATTTTGTCAGTGAGCCTTTTTTTCCATAACCTTTGGGATAACTTGCCTGGTAGTATACTTGGAGTCCACCATTGCATTAGGGTAATTTCCCACATGACACAGGTCTTCATCTGACTCTAAAAACAGTATTTGAAGTTACTCATTTTCTCTTTTTTGAAACATTTTCCTTACTTGGCCTCTGGGTCACTACTCACAGTTCTCCTTCTATCTCACTGGCCATGTGTTCTTGAACTCCTCTGAAGTGCAAGAACCACTTTATTACTCTCTAGATAGCACAGCTAGACTCATAGCTTTAAATAACATCTTCAGGCTGATGAGTCCCAAATTTATATCTCTAATTCCAACATCTTACCTACCCTCTAGACAGTTTAAAAATGAACATTTACTATCTATCTCAAAACCTATTCCTCTCTTGGATCACTGCAACAGGTCTCCAAAATGGTCTCCTGATTCCCACCTGAGACCCACTTCAGTCTACTCAAGTCAGCTGTCAGTGATCCTCCCAAAGCATAAATCAAATCATATTAATCCTTTGTTCAAAACTCATGTATGTCTTCCCATATCCATCACAGTAAAACCTAAAATCAGTACTATGACCTCCAAGGCCTCACCTGGCTTGCCCCCATCTCTAGCTCCACCATTAACCAGCTCACGCACTTGGTTCTAGCCATGCTAAGCTCTGTGCTATTACAAAAACAGTCCAAGCATGCTCCCACTTCAAGATCTTTACACTCACCACTCCCTCTTCCTGCAGTGTTCCTTCCCCAAATATTCACATGGCTTGTTCACTCACATCCTTCAGGTCACTGCTCAAATATCATCTTACCAGAGAGGATTTCCTCATCACCTTTTATAAATACAAACTTCTACCTGCTCACTCAAGCACCCCTATCCACAGCATTCCCAATACTCCTTGTCCTGCTTTATTTTCTCCACAGTCCAAACCACCACCTGATAGATACGTAATGGTTTATTTTTTGCATTGCCTGTCTCTCTTACTAGACATTAAGCTCCATGAGGTCAGCAATTTCTACATTCTGTTTATTTTACATGCCTGAAATCTACAGAATGCCTAGCAGACAGAAGGAATTCAACAAACACTACTGAAAAAATAAATGCATCACAGTAACAGGAGACATTCCCACAGTGAACCTTAGCAGCAAGAGAGGGCTGCCTGACATGAAGGCAAGAGGATTGCTTAAAGGAGCACAGGCCCCACAGGTCCCACAAGCTCCGCAGACTCCCAGAACTATTTGAGAGGAGGACTGCAATACCACAAAAGGTAAGGGCAAGGCCACAGAAATATGGCTTTGTGGCCCTGATAGGAAAAAATTCACAGGAAAAAATAAGTTCACCACAGAGAGACCTGGAACACACTCTCAACCAAGTGATCAAAGTAACATCACCAGTGACTGGACAAATAAAGTTCAAAATTAAAAATTAAAACTATGAAAGAAGAAACTGTGTAATATCATTAGACTTAGAATGCAACTTCTTAAATAATGCGCTCTACTGGACTAAAATACGAGACTTTTTCCTACATCTAAATTTCATTTAAAAACTAGAAATAAATAAATAAGTAAGGCAAGCAGCCATGATGTAAAATATCATAACACTGACTTTCAAAGAAACACTGTGATTTCCAGATAATATTTCTATTATTAATAAATAAATAATTAATAAATCTGAAAAAAACACCCATCATACTTTGAGGATTCAGTATGTCTTATTTCAATTGAAATATCATGAAATATTACAGAAAAACCTTAAGAGTAGTACAAATGTAAAAGGGCTAAACTTATTTATTTAAATGCAGTTGTCAATTAGCCATTTCTAAAAGGAGAAAAAAACAAAGCAAAATTACCTTCATGGACTGTAATGCCACAATTGTCACACTGAATTATTTCATCAGCATCCTCACTATTATCTCCCAGACAAACACAGCAAATCAGAATATGGTCCATTTTTTGAGAACTCCAGTTTTGACTCTTCTCAAGAATCAGCGAGTCCTATATATTAAAATATATCAGAAAATCACAAATTAAAAGGGAATTTAATAAATAAAATTCTCACTTTAAATTATTTTATGCACTTCCAAAACTATGCCACATTCTCCATTCTTTTAGTAATTTCAAAGTACACTACATTTGAGAAGTACATCTCTGTCCAAGGACCCTCTAAGCACCCTCTCTCTAATTTTTCACTTCTCTGCAAGTCTCATATTCTCACCTCTAGGAAATGAAAAAGCAAGCAGTTAACTAACAAATCTTCATCTGTTTGCCATTCTGGATTATAGTCTGACCCTTTACACTAAGAGAAAGCAAAAATTAACCCACAAGTAATTATTAATCCTATATATGGGTTTAAAAAGTGTAAGACATGGCTCCTACAATTAGGAAGCTTATAATCCTACCTTGGGGAGACAAGACACACATATATTAAACAGGAAAAAATCAATTCAAGATAACATATAAGTGAGTATGTATGTGAAAGCATAGTTACAGACTCTATACTCCTTACATGCTGGGGAATTCAATAGTTGCAGGGTCATCAAACTACTGGCTGATAGACCCATGAGAGCCCGCATAGGTCTATCTGTGTATACAGGTACAGAAAACCATCTAAAAACAGACCCAGCTGACTAGCTGCTAGAAGAGTCAGAGTACTCTATTAGGTTTATGTCAAGAAATGTCTAGTGTAAACTGATAATAGAGATACCTAATTATAATATAAAAGGAGAAAAGGAGATGTATTAATAAATAAATACAAAAAGATAAAATTTCAAGAAAGGGACAAAATGGCTTCTTTTAAACTTTCTGCATCATAGATTTAAACTTTAAATAAATTAACAAGATAATGAACAGATTTGGCTTAGTATTACATATAGTAAAAGACGGCACTTGAGTCTATTTAAGAACCTAACCATATTCGGAAACAAAATAAATTACTTCCCTATCATACATTCAACATATTTTCATATTAATGTTTTTCATAATTTTATATTCTTTTAAACTGACCAATATCCAAAAGTAACCTTTAGAGGCACCATTTCAATAACAATTTGTAAATGACAATTGAATGACACTTGAATGTCACAATAACATTCTTGAAATATATTTTCTGTGTAATACATCTAAACTTGTAGCTGGTCTGTCAAAACAAATCAGAAAAGAATACAAAAGTAAACAAGGAGGCAATGTCATTTCTCTTGAGAATTCTAGTACTTTAAAATTTTATATTTTGCTCCTCTTTGTTATAAAACCAAACAAAATAGTTTAGAGGTTTTGGACATGGCTAGCAAATAAAGGTAAACACTTTCTAAAAAGAAAACTCACATTTTATACTACTTTGGTACAGTGAGCAAAACAAAAATCTGCCTAGGTTTCCATCCCATTAGCCATGCTTCAACGTAACAGCATTTGACTTAAAGTCAAATGTTCTTGGGTTTCATTCCCAGCTCTCACTTAAAAGCTGTTGAATCTCAAAGCTGCAGTTTCTCATCCGTAAAATTGGATGATAAAAATACTATCTATTTCAAGAGGTTGGAGTAAGAATTATGAAGAAAATCTATGTCAAAAATGTTCCCGATACATGCTTGGTACTCAAATGTTCAGTCCCATTCTCCTTTCCTCTGTTATTTCTGGTAGGTGGTTCAAGAAGAGAAACCATTTATTACCCTGGGGAATCTTCCTTGGAACTCCCAAGACAAAAATTATAAGACTCAATGAGCACTGCTGCTTTAAATATTTTCCCATGGTAAGTCCAAAAAATACTTTTTTCTTAGAATACCACATGGAAGTTAAAAAATCACAGACTAGAAAAAAACCTAGTGAACAACCTGAGTTTGATGACTGAGAGGCTACTCACGTTTATGGGCTCTGCCAATACTCCTCTGGAGGAATTACAACTAATCAGTCCTTGAAAAAAAGGTTTACCCATGTGGGAAATAAATAAACTTCTATGGGTCAGAAAAACTAGTAGCAGCAGGTGGCTCTAATTCCATTAGTTTCCAATTTCTCCATTTTGCTGAGAAAAACAGTAAATGTCTAAATTAGAACGCTATACAATTTCTCTCTACATATATTATCATTTAGAGGGAGAGAAAACAAAATTAACTTGTATTTCTGGCTCTCTGATCCCCATCATTTGAGATTTTTACTAGAATGTAATACAAACAGAGGGAAACTACATTATCCTAACCAAATGGCTGACAGACAATGCTTCAATGGGAAAGTCTAAATAACACATTCTCTCAGAAAGTTATGCTCTAAGTTGTCTTTCAGAGATCAAACACGGGTTTAAGCACACTTAGCAGAACATAAAAGCCAATTTAGTATCAATTTTTATTAGCATATTTCAGAAGATGTATATCATTTTTCAAGTTTCTGGAGAAAATAGTTAAGCTAAAGTTTTTACTACAAAATATATCATTTGAAAATATGATTTTTATATAAAAACAGAAATTGGATAAATGGGTTTTGAATGCCTCGAGTATCACCTAGAATATTCTATTAAAGTATAATTTAATGAAATCTAATGGTAATTATAAGATCAAATGGGGCACTATAGGAATAAGTCAATACTATAGAAAATTATTTTCACCTTTTTCCCCTGGGATTTAAAATTTACACAGAAAATGATAATATTGCCCAGTGCTCTCCACAGGTATAAAATATGTTTAGTGTTCACTTATATATGTATTCCACAAAGATGATTATAATAATATATATAACAGGATAACTTCTAAATTATGTGGGTTTAATAGAAGGAAACTCCAGCACACCTCACATAAAACCAGAATTAAAAGAATCCTATTGCTCCAAAGATGAGAAAAAATTAGTATACCAAAAGTTTGACCAACAGTTCCTCCTCTAAGTTTTTAAAGATGGTTAAATTCTCAAGACTCTCCAGTAATTTTTGTACAATGCTACAGATTGATATTTCTTAGGCCTGAGAGCAATTTTTTTATTTTGAAATGTATAAAAAAGGAAATTGATTAATAAGTCAGAAGTCCCCACCAGAAGTGGCTATTTATAAATTTTGGCAAAATTTTTACATTTTAATTAGCAAAAATCAGATGACAACTACCATTTCTTCACATGGCAAGATATCTAATCCATTTAACATAACAGCCTTCTATGAAAAAATATTTCCATCTGAAAATTTCTACTGATACAATTTTCTGTCATATATTAATTCTCATCTAAAGCTCTAGTTTCAAAGTCCTAAAAATGAAAACCATTCTCTGAAAATGCTACACAGCTCTCCCAAAAAATTTACTTCAGAAAACTAAAAGACAAGATAACCTTAGAGAATCTCAAAAGCTTCAAGATAAAAGCTTGAAAAACACATATAACCATATTCCATTGGGACTGTTCAGACTGCACTAAATTCAAAAAATGCCATAATGCCATCAGCACAGGCAAGTGCCCATATGCAAAAAATGCAGGTTATCAAATACCCAACTCCACAACAGTATTTCTCAAAGTGTGGTCTGAGGAATTCTCTTTCAGAGGGTTCACAGGGTAAAGGCTATTTCATAATAATATGAAAGTTACTTGCTTTCTTCACTTTCTCTCATGGGTATACAGTGAAGTTTTCTAGAAGGGATATGACATGGGACGATGTCATCCATCTGACAACTTGTGTACTCTTCTATATGTCTCATTTTTTGAAATACCTGACTTTTAATTTGAAGTGGTAAATATCAAAAGATACCTACATAATAATTGAGGTCCCCAATAATTTTTTAAGAGCATAAAGGGGTCCTGAGATCAAAAAGTTTGAGAACCACTGCTCTACAGTATTTCAAGACGTATGGCATAGGCATGTTAAGGCTATTAAGAGTCAACACTTATAAAAGAACCCCTGCTCAAAAAATATCACAACTCCCCTAAGAAACTTCAAAATTATGAAAGTTTCTGGGCATCATTTCAATGATGCCCAACATCATTTCATTTCCATAAAAGAACACTTGACATAGTGGCCCCGAAAAAACTTTATCTGCTTGTAAACCAAATATAATATAATTCTATTATGTATTTTCAAAGCCATGTTTTCAGGTGTGTCTACTACAAAGTAGTATTTGAAAATTTAAAGTCAAAGCAGAGAAAAATAAAACTTCAAATATGATCAAATACATATGTATTAACTAATGGATGCTTGGCAAGGTATCACCACCTAAAATAACCAGGAAGATTAAGATACAAACACTGGTCATAAGGCAACAAGGATTACCATTAGTCATCTTTTTATAAAATCAAGATAAGATCAATAGGAAATTTAGAAACAATAATCTCAATTGATCAGTTTTTTATTAAAATTTAATATCTAATTTGAGTGACATTTACATAGAACTAGAATCATCAAAAATTATTGAAGAGTTTGAACAATAGTCTTGGAGAAAAAAACAGTTATCAAGCCTTCAGGTAGAATATTACTACAGGAAAATTAACTTTCTGTAAGCTTTACATTTCTGCATAGGGTAGAGCAAAAGGAAAATTAATATAAATTAACACGAGGAATTAATTTAGCTACTGTAAGAAGAAACTTCTTGCCAACTTTATCACGGCACTTTTCCAAGAAATGCTCTGGAATAGTATTCCCTTGGACTGTTAACCTAAATATATAAAGACCCATTATTTACTAGTTTCTTCTGGTAGGAAAAAACTAAACAGTACATGTGGCCTTTAAATGCATCATAAAGAAAAGTCTACTATCTCTTAAGCAATACATTATGTATTACAGATAATTAACAAATGGGTAATGTATACACTTTACATGGTAAGTTTCTAAACACATGCAGGTGTTTACCACACCTTAGCCTAAATCTAATCCACATTGCCTCTATCATTAGCCAGACTACTTTTGTGAATGTCAGGCTAACAAAAATGAAGTAAAGAAGTGATGCTGCCAAAGGTAAACTTATTTAGTGGATAGAGATTACTAAATGCTATAAAATAAACTGGATACACGCCTAAATCAAATATAAACAATTAGATTTTCCATACTTCTATCTCCCTAAGCTGGCATTGGGAATAGGGAACTGCCTGTGCTATATCATGATAAAAACCATATTGTATTCCAAATGACAGTTTTCCTTTACATAAAGGTAAGAATTAGGACAGCACTGGAGTAGGCAACATTCTTCACATGAACGTGGGCAACCTAAAAGTTAACCAATGTTTATGATCTAAAAGATAAACTCCTGTTTCATCTCCACTGACATATAACCCTGCCTAGCCTGCTATACATTACTTTAGTACGAAAACGTCAAATTTTTAAAAGAAATGCTCTTGAAACAGATAATCACTGCTATGTAAAACTTATAAGCAGAAGAAATGTAAAAGAACAAAGCACAGAAGGAAAATCTTTCTACCAGCTTAATCTATTTCAATAAGAAAAAACAAAAAATAAGTGCTTGATAAAGAAGTGAATTTTCATGACTATGAACACATTAACGGAAATGACAGACTTATTATAGTTCTACATGTGATGTAACAGGTACATCTACATGTAAGACAACAACTCAATCTTCCTTTTGAAGAAAAACATATACATAAACACACAGACAAGAGACACAAATGTGTTTGACTGAAGAGTCTTGAATGTTGCATCTTGGGCCCAATGGATAAACCTAACTTTTGGTAGTAGAACTTCAAGTGGAAGAACTGAATCATTACTGTAGTTTTATGATAGAAATGTTTGCTTTTTTTTTTCATTTCTTTGTAGAGAGAATCTATTCACTAAATATATGTAAACATACAGTTGGTATTTACTACCATACATCTAAAGCAAAGATTTGGTGACTATTCAGATGATAGCTGCTAGAACCAGTAAAGGAATTAACCTTTAAAACGAATCTCTAAAAGTCTGAGACAATCATTATGCTGTTTGTTGCCCTGCTTTAAAGTATTCTAAGTCTAAATTTGTATGTGGATATAGATATAACTAAGTTGAAAGAAAGGTGACTTTTGTTTTCATAATCCACTTAGCACCCCTCAGCAGTCCTATGAACAATGGGGTGAGAGAAGAGAAAGGAGAAAGGAAAACTCTACCATTTCCCAAGTCTATTGATATAAAAATACTTCTCTAAATATATAGATTGTGAGCTCCTTGAGGACGGTGACTGTGAGTTCCTTGAGAACGGTGACAAATAGCAGATACTCAGTAAAGGTTGGTTGACCAAATGAATAAATGTTACAGTTAGGGTGCTCATTCACTCCCATAGCTGTCTATAAATAGGATTTCAAGGAAGCCACTTAATGTAACGGGTAGAACGGTTTAGAGAAGAATTCCCTTTTCCCCAGACAGACAGATATCATAAAAATTGGGTTGGTCTACCTCATTACTCTTGCTTTGAGATAGTGTCAGGCTATCATTGGTCAGTTCCTCATCATCAGCACTGTTTCTGCTAAGAACTTTACTCTTCTTCTTCTTGCAACCCCCTTCACTGGCGGGGCTGCTATGATCTTCATCATTGCCTTCCTCGTTCTCATCCTCATCACTCCCACTTCCCTCATCTTCATCATCCTCATTGTCTCCATCACTTCCTTCTTTCTGAGATGCAGATCTTCCCTTTCTCTTTACTACAGTAGGTCGCCAATCATTGTCATCTTCACTGTCATAGTCATCCATGTCATTCAGCTCTTCCATGGAAACAAAATCCAAAAGTGGTCGGTTTCGACGAAGGTTCCACTTTTTTGGCTCACTGACTTGTTCCTCTGTAGTGGTCGTGGTAGTGGGGACTGAAGGAGATGTGTTAACAGCAGAAGGACTTGTGGCTGGTGTAGTGGAAGTAGCAGAAACAGCCACACTGTCAGGTACTGTTGCTTTTTCTTTCTCCTTCTCTCTCTCCTTTTCTTTCTCTTTTTCTTTCTCCTTCTCTTTTTCCTTTTCTTTCTCCTTCTCTTTCTCCTTTTTCTTTCTAGGTCTTTCTCCATTCTCTTCTTCTTCCTTCTTTTCCATTTTAATTAACTGTTTTTCTGAGGACAGTATTTCTTCCTCTGCAGAATTTTTACATTGTTCTTCTTTTACTTTAATATCTTCATTCAGTTCTTCTTCTAAAATATTTTCTTCAGAATCACTACAGGAACCTTCTCCACTGTCCTTTGAGGGATCTTCACTTCCATTACCACTCCCTTCAGAATCTGTTGAAAATATGAGAAAAAAAAACCACACATATGTATATACATACACACACACACACACAACGCTGACACAAATGAAACCACCAAAATTTGTGAATAACTTGCAAAACAATATAAACAAATTTAAGTCAAAGAATGGTAGACATTCCCAACCTGATTAAATAATAAATCGATGAAGTTGGCATAATGGGTTTAGTACAATATAGCACTAATGAAGATGAATATATGTAATTCTAAATACAATATGCTTTACAACAAGGAGCACTATTTCGTGTCACATAGCTCATACTATATTTGGTGCCCTAGAGGCAATTTTTTTCTAAAAGTAAATATGCTTCTTTTTAAATTGGGCACTTGATTTTAACTTAATGATAACATAATACAGACCAAATTCTTCTTCCCTTACATCTTCCTTTCAGAAACTATATGGACTTACAAGCATTGAGTCACATTCAGAACAAGAAAAATCGGGCCCAAAAAACTTCATTTTATTTATTTCACTCTTTACCCAGCAAAAATGAGCAGATATTTTTGAAAGTCAACTTGTACCACATTCCTAATGTACCAATTAATTTTAGGAGTACCAAGTACACAGGTGAAAAGAGACAACAGCAATGGCACAGAAAATGGAAGTTGCAAGAGAAATTACCAATTTTCCTGTTTATTAGGATACTTACTGTTCATATCAATAAAAGAGCCACCTAAACTTCCTAAAATTCTAGGCCGTAACTACTATAGCACCTAGAATGAAAGAAATTAATGAATTTTTAAAAACAAATCCATCTTGGAAAAGAGCAACCACAGCAGTCACTAAAAAGATAGGCTAAGGACACTAAAGAGTTCAGGCAAGACTAAAAGCTTTCCAGCAAGTTTCTTCCCTTCCTGCCTAGGGCAACCCAGGCCCTCTTAGCCCAACACTATCCAGTAACCTTCTAATCCTCTTTACACCTAATCAAATAAATAAACAGCTAAAATATTTGGAGATGGGGCCACCCCATGGCTGAGTGGTTAAGTTCGTGTGCTCTGCTTCGGTGGCCCAGGGTATTGCAGGTTCAGATCCTGGGCACGGACATGGCACCGCTCATCAAGCCATGCTAAGGTGACATCCTACATGCCACAATTAGGACCCACAACTAAAAATATATACAACTATGTACCGGGGGCTTTGGAGAGAAGAAGGAAAAATAAAATAAATAAATAAAATAAAATATTTGGAGAGGGGTATAAAGGGGAGGAGAAAAAAGGAAGGGGAGCAGGAGAAAGTGGGAAACAAACCAGTCATATCAGGTCGTGGCCAACAGCAATAGTAAAATCTGTAGGGTGATGAATTTTTTGCACCTATAACCAAGAAAAGGGTAATAATAAAATGGTGAAAAAAGTCCATGCTTCCACACCATTTTAATTTCTGTTAACTCAATCAGCCTTAACCACTATAATTAACTGGGCATTAAAAGTAAGCAAAGTTAAACAAAGTTGTCTATAATTAGTATCTGGTGTCTAAAATATCTCAGAAATCCTTTACAAATGGTTGATTAAAAAAAAATTCTACGAGTTTTAAATCACATAAAAAATAAGGACTAACATTTAGCAGATGTTGACTGATCCTACAAAATCACCGTCAATCTCAAGATTATCAGGCAGTAGCCACAGCTTATTCAGGACTGTTGCAAAAAAATATTCTCATCCTAAACAATCTTGCAAAAGACAGAAGAGCAATATCATGTAAGTCAACAGTCTCTTATCTGAAACTTTTGGAGCCAGATGTGTTTCAGAATTTGGATTTTTTTCAGATTTTAGAAGGGCAGCATGGTGTATACACAATATATTACAATACCACCTCCAGGGAGGTTTATGGTACTATCCTATAATCAAACATCCCTGTAGTGAAAAGCATGAATATTTACAAGTACGATACGTAAACACTACAAACAAACTCTATCAGTCCCAGTCAGGTTTTAGCATCAAATAAGTTTGTGCCAAACTTAGGAAACACCTTTGGATTTCTGATTTGGATTTGTGGATTTCAAACAGAGTGTGGACCCAGTATCATTCACAAACTGATGACTTCTTTTCAGGCCAACAGCTCTACAAATCATAAGAAAATTATGATTTTTTTATACCAAGCAAGACAATTAAACCCACACTACCAAGAAAAACTACCTCTGGTAAAAAAAATAATAATAATTTCCAGATATTTTTAGATAAGGATCTAATAAATAACAAGCAGAGTTGACTAAATACTTTTAAGGCAAAGAAGGATCTCTGTGCATACTGACTAAAGAAATCTGGAATATCTTGCAAGCAATGCCATAATTAAGAGAGCCAGGAGATGGAGAAAGGGTACTTTTCTTCTGGATCAATCTTCTAAAAGCCTTTGTAGAAGTACCTAAAATGTACTCCTAGGGGCTGGCCCCGTGGCCGAGTGGTTAACTTCGCGCGGTCCGCCGCAGGAGGCCCAGTGTTTCGTTGGTTCGAATCCTGGGCGCAGACATGGCACTGCTCGTCAGACCACGCTGAGGCAGCGTCCCACATACCACAACTAGAAGGACCCACAACGAAGAATATAAAACTATGTACCGGGGGGCTTTGGGGAGAAAAAGGGAAAAATAAAAAATTTAAAATAAAATAAAATAAAATAAAACGTACTCCTAACAACTTTTACCAATAAAAACTTACAGTAGATACAAAAGTAAGATTAACTGGGCACAAACGTGGGTACTGATCAAAACTGAAACCAATCCAACTTTGCTATTACTTGAAAAGTTTTACAAAATGTCAGGAATTTCTGCAATTTTGTTTTGGTTGTTGGTGCCAATGCCAATCAATTATTTTTAAAAATATAGGGAAATTGATACTCTTTGATTCTGTTTTTGTTTTGTAATCATGCCTGAATAGAGTAATTAGAAAAAAAGATTTAAAGGCTTTACATTTTTTAACGTATTATTAGAAGAATCTGAGTTTATTCCACAAATCCAAATCCTAGTAGCTTATCCAACCCTTCATTCTCCAAATATAACACATATCCATATACCAACTGCAGGCATCAGCAATGTATCAAATCTTATCTTTCTTTGATCTCTGAAAAATAACTTCATCTGATTAGTCATCATGTCTTTTTGATACATATGCACTTGAGGGATGGAGATAATATTTAGTTATTAGCATAGCCTGCTAACAGTGACAATGAGAAAATCAGAGTCCTTGGTGATCTATTATTATATTTTTGTAGGCTGCAAAGAAAAATTTCCTATTACTACAAATTCAAATAATGACTCTGTGCCATGTTCCAAATTCTTCACTCTCACATCCTTAAAAAAACAAAATGTAATAGAGAAATAAGCCAGATACTTCAACTACAGCTATCTTAGGCCTAAGGACAGAGTTAATTCTCAAGTCTACAACAAAATTTTTTATGTTAGAAAAGAAAATCTCTGAAATTGAAATCCCTACTTTCTATTCAATTAAAAGGTAACTTTCCTAAACATACAATATATCAAAATCTCCCCAAGCAGGAGCTATTTCAACTAAAAGACAGTTAAGGAATTTTTTACAGTTATAGAATTAAAAAACCAACCTTCAAAAATCTCTTCATAATATTCAATGCTTAAGCTCCCCATAATAAATATTAAATGATAAAATCAGTATACTTTAATTCAGAATGTTATGTTAGCTTTGCAATACAAAGAATCATCTTTGTTCATCAACCTTAATTATTTACCTACAGTCATGAGCTGCCAAACAATGTTTCAGTCAACAAGGGACTGCATATATGACAGTGGTCCCATGATATTAGCACCATATTGGCTACATGTGTATTAGGCTGTATCCTCTAGGTTTGTGTAAGTACACTCTATGATGTTCGCACAGAGGAAATTGCTTAATGATGCACTGTTCAGACTGCATCCCTACCATTAATCGACACATGCTGTATTCTATTCATTGATGTAGTGCAAAAGTGATTAGTACGATAAATATACACAACAGATAAAGAGATCACCAGTCTACTGGTTACTCAGTTATCATCTTGGGGCCATTTCTGACTAATCCTGTATATCTCCTTTAAAAAAGTCAATCAGTCAATGAAACTCATCCTCTACTTCTGACTCTACACCCAGCTGTGTCATCTTACATTTTCTGGGTAAATCTAGACGAGTGGTTCTCAAGTGGAGACAATTTTTGTCCCACAAAGGACATTTTGCAATGTCTAGAGACAACAGTTGCCACAAAAGGGCAGGGAGCTAAGGGGAAGGTAGGGAAGATGCTACTGGCAATTAGTAAGCAGAACACAGGGATGCTGCTAAACACCCTATGATACACAGGATAAGTCTCCATAACAAAGAATTAACCAACACAAAGTGCCAAGAGGTGAGACTGAGAAACGCTGGTCTAGCACATAAGGCCCCAATTTGACCTCATTCTACTTTCCCACGCTCTTCTCTTCTACTATTCTTTCACTTAATGCTGATCCCCAAATATAAATGACATTTTCCAGCCTCCACACTTCGAATACTTAATGTTTCCCCACCTAGAGTGCTTCTTTTTCAGTTCCTAGTTTAACAATTATCTCCTCAATGAACTGTTCTAGATCAATCTAGCCTAAAGTAGTCCCATCTCCTTCGAAAGACTTGAACTACACAAGTGATCAATCATGCCCTGTATCATCTAGCTATTATTTTATTTAATTATTCTAATATTATCACTATTTCCCTGTGAATTCATCATAACATCCAGAAAAGTGCTTTTAAACAAAACCACAGATGGTCAATGAACATATCTTGATCCACTTAGCCCAAGTCAGAAGTACACAATACTACCAAAGCAAAGACTCAGCCTGACTCTTCCGGTTCGATTTTTTTCTGGCAATTTGGCCTAACTAAACTAACTACAGCTCAAGATCTAAAGTTACCCATCTTACTTTGGTCAGGGAGTTGGGGGAGACACAGCATTGCTATTTTGTCTTGTTTAATAAAAGTAATAAATGCACTTATCTTCAAAAACATTCCATTTATATAGCAGATCGCTAAATGTAAGCTATCCGATCCCCAATCCTAGATTCAAGTCTCAAACATAACCACTTTAGCTAGACCAAACCATGAAACTGCCAATAATTTACTGTTTTAGACCTATAAAACTGTAAATTCTTATAGTTCCACCTACCATTTCTGCATATGGTTCTTCTGGTGGTTATCACCATAATTCTAATACACTTATACCCCATTTTGGGACTTAGTAATTTTAAAATTTATTTATTGACTGTCCTCAATCAAAAATGAGCGCCATAGCTCTACTTTCACACTAGAGATAAAACGAAAGATGATCTATTTTCAATTCATAATTGTCTAAACTTAGAGGCTTATGATTATTAACTGTCAATAATCACTTGCCTATCTTACAGGCAGGTCATTTTTGAGAAATATTTATCTTTTTCGATTTTATCATCTGAGAAGTACATGAATAAAATTATGTTTATCCGCAAGGGCGTTGAATATAATACCTTTTCAGAATTGTCCATATTTACTCTTCAAGTCAAACAGAAATATAAAGTTTTGTAGTGAGAATTTAGATTTCAAAATGAAGATCCTAAGAAAGTGATGCACAGAATCCAATTAACAAAAATTGAGGCCAACCAATCTAACCATTTTAACATTAAATTCTAAGGAAGTCAGCAGTTCATTCAGTAAGTCGTTTCTAGAGATTGGTTTGAAAGAAGCTATAATTAGACAGATGTTTAGCTACTATTTCTCCACCTCCAGTTGAATCTATTCATAAGAAGCGTTGAGATTCCACAACTTCAACATTTTTGAAACCAGTGATAAGTCTAATAACTTATTTCCTGTAAGAGTCCAATATCTCAGGCAAAGAAGAGGAAGGAGTGAAACAGGAAACACTGTTAATCTAGAGTAAGCAAACATCTCAGCTACAAGGAACACCAACAGACTTTAACCAAGAATGGAAAATATCATTCAATTTCTACTGACTACTACTTTAAACGAAATCATTTTCTACTAACCTCTTATCTACAGTAACATATCAAGAACTACACAGATAAATTTGTGACCTTTGAGTCAAAAATTTAAGCTCCCCAGGGGCCAGGGAAGTAAATTATAAGTACAGCAGACTAGGTATTATGACAAGAGGGAACAGAAAACACACGTTTTTGAGTTCTTTTAGGAGATTTTTTCCCAAAACTATCAGGCTAACAAAACTCATCCTACCACTGTTCACAAAAAATAGATAATTCCCATCAACTCTGATTAAGATTTAACATGGTTAGCAATATTTTGACACCAAAAATTATTTTGAGAAGGTAGTTTGTATCATAAGACTGTTTTAACCCTTGCAAAGAGAGGTGACACCTGTGAATGACCCCATCTCAATACACAATAAGAAAAAATTTATCTACAAAGTCAGGATTTATTGTCACAAAAATAATGATGAAATACAGAAATTAAGCTTTGGAGTTTTTCCCACAACGGTATTCAAATAAACCATAACTTCTGAGACCCAGCTATTTTTGCCACAGTTTACAAACTCAACCGTAACAAACCAAAACTATATTCTAGCCAAGATTCTTATCTGCCAAGGTTTTCACCAAGAGAACTAACATAGGCTTGGATTTTACCTCCCTTTCCTTCCCTTTTCTTTCCCTTCTCTGGAAGTACCAAACATCAGTGAATCGACTAAATAGGACAGGAAAGTGCTGAGAGGCAAAGGTTAAAAAAACTTAAGATTAACCTGACAACTGGGAGTGTCCTCAATTAGTTACCACAATATCCTAGTTTCAGTTTAAGATTATGTTTATCTACTTTTAGGATCTAAGCAGTGAAAAGATTATAAATGTTGGAGTCAAAAGACATGGATTAGATGCACTGGGGCCTGAGTGACCTCATGCAAATTCTTTAAACTCAGCCCCACACTATCTGTAAAACACTATCTCCTTCACTGAGTTATTGTAAAAATTAAATACGGTTACAAAAATAAAAAGTTCTCAGTAAATAACTACGCAAACTCTGCTTGTTGATGCTATTAAAAGCAAAAGAGTAACACAACACAACCTAATTTCATCCCTTCCTACTATCCCTAGCAGGAAAAAAAACAAAAACCAGAGGAAAGGAAAGAGATATGACTAAGCAGAGAAAACTCTTTGGAAGAATATTTAAAAACCATTAAAGGGATGAAATTAGAAGGGCTTTTATTTTTCACTTTATTTAAATTTCCACCAAAAGGGGCAGAATTATAAGCAATTTTTACTGTTCACGTGTGGTTTAGTATTTTTGACAAATATTTAAACATAATTTGTATGCATTTCTCAGATTCCTGCAATTAAAATTGTATATATCTTTATATATATGTATATATATATGGTACAATAAACAGAAGATAAAAGGAAAAATTCACTCTTCTATGTTTTCCAATTTTGTACAATGCAAATATACGAGCTTTTTAAAAAGTTCACTGTTTTCAAAATCACAAGATATAATGAGCAGGTATGCATGCTTTATACCTCAGAAATTTTTGAAAGGCCCAATCCATAAGATCCAGCAACTACCACAAAGTACAACTTTTTACTCTGGTCAATTTTATTCCAGCAAGGGAGCTAATAGACAAAAAGCAAAAGTCCCCACACAGGGTGCCAAGTGATCTGAAAAGAGAAGAATCCTGTTCATGGGCTGTTCATGGCTCACACTATTCTCAGGATATTATTCAACTTCGGGATCTCTCTCGATCTTTTTCCCTCTATCCATAAACTAAGCATAAACATATTTTAAAATAAAGACTAGAGAAAATGTTTTTGCATCTTTGGAATAAGTCCTTCTCTGCCTGCTAACTACCTGAGTAAGTCATCAACAAAAACAGAGGCAATGGTAAGATCTAGCGATAGGATCTTAGGGAAATGTGGGAAATCAAATGCACAAAATAAATGAGGTTTATGTGCTTTAACTTTAAATTGGCAATTTAATCAAAACCGATTCTTGAAAAAAAGTGTCTGAAAATAAGGCCAACTCCAGAAAGCTGGGAAAAGGGAAGAGAGAAGGCAACATTTACCTGAGGCATCTCCAACTTTAAAATCACTGTCATCTGAACTATCATAATCGAGAGCTTCTAGCAGAGAAGCTGCCAAAGGCTTCACCTGCCTCCTCTTGGAGCTGCGATCCACTGTTAAGAGAAAAATATGACACCGTCATTCATAATCACAGCAAGCACAGGTACAGATGACCTCGTGCAAGGAATCTTTGTCTAACTCATCTCTCAGCAAAAGGTGTCGGGGAAGGCTGTGGTGGAAACGAGAGCTGGGGAGGGCCGGGCAGCTCCATGAGCAGCTCCAGCCACAGGATGCGGCAAACGCGAACCCAGGCCGGCCAAAATCCAAGCTGACCCGCTTGCACATCTTGTGATGTTTCTGCGACTCGCTTGTAATCCCTCACTCAGACACCGTTAACAGTCAACATAAAGAAAATGCAAAGCCCAGGGAAGAAAACAAGCCGTCTTCATTCCCGCGGACCATGGAAGGGTAGAGTCCACGTAGGGACCAGCTTCCCGCAGGACCCTCCCACCCCCTCCCTGCTCCCGCCCGCCCCGACTTCTAGAAGGGCTGAAGTGAACCTTTCTCCCCGCAGAGGCCTCCGACACACTTACTAAGGAATCCGAGGTGGTCGTTTGGAAGAGACCTAGGGAGAGGCTGCGAGAGCCCAGGCAGCGCCGAGGTCGGGGACCGAGACCGCGGAAACAGGTCCGAAAGATGCTATTTAAAATCGGCGGCGCCGCCGAGTGCCCGGGGCGCCCCAGGCGCAGCCCCGCGGTCCCCTCCCGCCCCCCCGCCCCCGGGTCCCCGCAGAACCGGCCCGGCAGCTCGCGCCCCCTCCCTCGGCGCTCCCTGGCCAGAGGCTCCCTTCGGCCCAGCAGCGCGGCCAACCCGGCGGCCCAGGGGGGTTAATTTCCCCCGTTAAAAGGGTTAGAAAAAAATAAAAGAAAGAAAAACTTTATTAGCCTGCACCAGAAGCAACAAAAGACCCAGATTTTGCACAGTCCGAGGCCGGTTGCCTGAAACAATAGGGAAAGCAACGACCCGGATACAGCTCTGACGAGAAGGAAGTGAAAACCGAAGGCAAAGCGCGGCCCTAAGGCCAGCCGGAGCCCACAGCGCGTGCGCCGGGAGGAGGACGCGAACAGAGCCGAGCGGGAGCCGAGAGCGTCCGAGTAGTGCCGAGCGGGAGCAGCAAGCCCTCTCAGCCCCTGGGCGGGACCACCCGCAGATGCCCGAGGCTCCGCCCTTAGTCCAAATCCATGGGAGGCCAATTTTTATTTCTGATTTTTGTTGTTTAGAGGTTTACTCAGAATAGACTTTCCGTAAAGGGACGTTTGCTATCTCAAATCACTACCAAAAAAACAGAAATAATGCCGACAGCCACACTCTACCTGCTGCTTCCATAAATTCAATCTCTTAAAATATCTTGGAATGTGCGAAAATTTTATTTCCTGGCAGAGGGTAATGTGACAATCGCATTAGACCTTGTTTGATCGCTGCTTTGAAAATTACAACTCTAACAGAGAAAAAATTATTTAATTATATTAATTAACTATTGTTACAATCATACTGTGGATAGACATTTCTGCATAAATAAAACGTACAGAGTGTTTCATTTTGCTAAGAGAATACATCTAGGGGAAAATATTTCTTCTCACAAGTATATTGTGTATTATTTCACAATGTGTGTCTCACCTAAGGAATTTATTTTTTAAGAAGAAGTTTTAAACCCATAAAAACATGAGGACAGTATGTACAACCAGATATGACTGTCCTTCAACAGTTTCATATGCCACGTTAATTCATATGCAGGTTAACTATTTTTTAAAACAATATTAAAATGTTAGAATTTGAGGGGCCGGCCCAGTGGCGCAGCAGTGAAGTTCGCAAGTTACACTTCTTGGCGTCCCTGGGTTTACCAGTTCGGGATATCAGGTGTGGACATGGTACCACTTGGCAAAAGCCATGCTGTGGTAGGCATCTGACGTATAAAGTAGAGGAAGATGGGCATGGATGTTAGCTCAGGGCCAGTCTTCCTCAGCAAAAAGGGGAGAATTGGCAGTAATTAGCTCAGGGCTAATCTTCCTCAAAAAAAAAAAGAAAGTTAGAATTTAAGCAGTGTTAATACTTTTTTAAATGTTTATATATCAAAGATAGAGAAAGCTTTGGATGAAGCTGATTCAGTTCAGTCATTTATTCCACAAATAAACTTTCAGTGGCAATATTTGTAACATGGGGAAATAGAGGGTTATGAAAGATTGTAAATTAAATGTGTAGGAATCAAATCATATAATGTAGCAGTGTAGCTTGCTCTTTAAAGACACGTGTTGAGTTCTTTTATAAACGAATTAAATTTTATAATATTTAATTTGAAAAACAAGTAAATATTTATGTAGTACAATTTAAGAATGATTACATAAAGGCTGGACTTTCTGTAAGACTGTTGTTGTCTTTTCCCTGCCAGTGTTTAAGTTAGTTGAGCATACAAACAAGTCAACAAACAATTGCTATATATATAGTGTAAGGAGCTACCAGAGAAAAAGTACACATGCAAAGAGAAGAGAAGGCACTCAAGGAAAGCTTCCTGGAGAAACTTATATTTGTATCCAGACATAAAGTGTCTGAACTGGCCTGGGGAAGGGAGAAAAGGAGACAGGTGCTCCAGACCAAGGAAAGAATATGTGCAAATGCCCAGGAAAGGGAGCACAACTAATCAGATTCTCCAATAGAGAATGTGTCAGCACATTCCACCCTAACAGTAATTGTACCAACTATATTGCAAACTCGTTTTTCTGTGTCCTGCATCACTGCTAAATATATAAACCCTTCCAATCTCTTTGAACCTCTAGTCAGCTGACCCAAAATACCACTGCTATGTGCTCCCTTAAACCTTTGTATTGCACTGTAGGAACTTCCATTTCAAAACTTCAAAAGCTACTTAGTAAACCCTCTTCCTTTTCAAGATCATTCTTGTACTTCCTTGTCTAAAATGATAAGTTATCCTGCAACCCTCTCAAATGGAAGCCACTCATCTTCTCATAACTTATTTTCCCAAGATCCAGATGTGGCATCTGATTCTGAATTCTCCCCATTGGCTTTCAGATCTGTTAGTCCTCCAATCAAAAGCCTAGCAATTTAGTTATTTAACCAACTCCACTCTGGGAACTTTTCTTCCATTCTGCTTCAAACATTAACTATACTATGGGTTGTCTTACCTCTGAAATTATAAAACCAAACATTCCACTCTCCAGCAACCTCCTAGATTCATAAGGAGGAACTATAATGAATTACCTAAAAGGGAAAAGAGAGATTCCAAAAGTTGGCTTTCAAGTTTCTATAAAAGAAATTCCTAGAAGTAGGTTTTGTGAGTAAAAATGCATAAACACATTTATATTTAATAAATAATGCCTAATTGTGCTCTAAAAACAGGTTGTACTAACATATATTACCACCAAGAGAAAATGAGATTTTTTTTCCAATCTTCCAAATGCCTGGCCACTGAGTATTAGCAATTATTTTTTTAATTTTTAACTTTGAAGTAATTTTAGATTTACTGAAGAGTGTCATAATAATATTGAGTTCCTGTGTACCCTTCATCCAGCTCCCACTAACGTCAATACCTTGCATAGCCATCGCACATTTACAAAACTAAGAAATTAACATTAGTACAATATTATTAACTAAACTTCAGATTTTATTCAGAGTTTACTAGCTTTCCCACTAATGTCCTTTTTCTATTCCAAGGTCCAATCCAGAAGACCATATTGCATTTAGATTAGCAATCTTTTTAAACCTTGCAATCCATGTGTTAAAAAGAAAAAGGCAAAATGAAGGAAGGAAAGAAACAAAGAAAGAAAGAGCAAAAGAAAGAAAGAAAAAGGGAAAAGTAAAGTAAAATTGAAAAATAGCTAATTGCATTTTTTATTTCCATTTAATAAATGTGAGACTGTTAATTGTCTCCCAAAACTTATTATCTGTTTCTTCTTCAAAATAAAAGCCTCAAAATTTAACTAGACACAAGCTTTCAACTAAAGATCACTTTCCTAACTTTCTTGGAGTTATGTGTGGTTATGTAATTAAGTTCTGGCCAATGGGATGTTAGCAGAAAAGGTATGTGCAACTTCCAGGAAATGACATTAAGTGAACTTTTTCCTTGCTTTTCTGAATGACTTTTATTTCTTTTTCTTGCCTAATTCCCCTGGCTAGAGCCTCATGTAGACAGGTGGATAAAAGCAGTGAGACTGAGTGATGGTGTTAAGATGGTGGTGTGGGCAGACTCAGAACTCACTTCCTCCCACTGACACAACTAATTTACAACTACTCTTGAAACAATTACTCCCTAAGACAGAACTGAGAACTGGATAAAAAGAACCCTGACAACAAGGGACAGTACTGACTGAGGTGGAAGAAGCAGAAATTCCTTCCTGGACAGAAAAAAGACACCTTTTAGCTATGACACTTCATGGCTGGTTGGGAGCAATCTTAAGTTACACAGCCTTCCCTGGAGGAGTGGGGCATCTGAATAGGGGAGCATTATCACAATAAGCAGCTTTTGGACTCAGCACAATGGAGGAGTGTCATAATATCTGGCCTTGCAGGCTATTAACTACAATGGAGGATACCCCCAGGAAAGCTATCAGACATAAGTGGAAAAAAAGCCTGCTCTTAAAGGGCCTATGAACAAATTTATGCATTTTGGAAAGTAACCTAAAATCACCAGAAAGAAAGGTGCACAGTCCTTTGGTGAAAAGAGACTCACCTGACAGGCTCTGGGTGCATCTCAGTGAGAGGTGAGACCTCTCCAGGGACTGAGACACTGGCAGCAGCCATTAGTGTGACCTAATACAGGCATGCTGACACAGGCACTGGCAGACACCATTGGAGTTCTTCCCCTGGCCTGTTAGCCTAGATGTCTGCCCCACCCACTAGAGCACCAATTTAATCTAGCTCAGCCAGGGCAGGCAGCCCACCCTAGGGACTGGCCCCAACCAATAGCAAGCCCATGGGCAACTAGTGGACCTGCAAAGGCAGAGTGCCTGGAACCTCCAAAACCTGGTGAGTGGGTCTGCCTCGGTGAGGCAGGGCATGCGCAAGGGGGAGGCCTGCATTAAGTTGGTGGAGTGTGTGCAGCCTCTGCAGTGGGGTGACTGGGTCCAATTCAGCAGGTTGGGTGCATGCAAGGGGCAGGACTGTGTTGATGGAGTGTGTGGCCCTGCAGGCAATGGGATCTGAAAGCTTTAGCAGACTTGTGCTTCTCAAACGGACACAGAGGGGATACACGCCATCTTTGGAAGCCTGAAACAATTGAGTGCTCCAATGCCTGGGGCTGAACCCACAGAGCTGCAACCCTGAGAGAGCTGACAATAGTCTTGCAGGCTTGAGACCAACAGCAACTGTTAAGCCCCTAGGCCTAGCAAACAGCCACACTGGGGGCCTACTCACTTAACAGAAAAACTGCAAGGAGAATGTGCTATTAGACCTTGCAGCCAACAGTGCTGGGATTCCCCAGGCCCAGTAAAGTGACTTAAGGAAAAATAGCAGCCACACATAGCTGAGAATTACAACCAGCCCGCCAAGGGGAGTGCCTAGCCTCCCTGGGCACCTGGAGAAAGAGCAATCCTGCCATAAAAGGACACACTTAGCCTGCACAGGGGACACTCCTGGAACACTTGGAACTGGTGACAAGAGGGAAGCACATTGCCAGGTCTCATAAGACAACTCTTACATAAGGCCACCAGTCCAAGATTAGCTGGACATGTAGATGACCTATGTAATACATACACATAAGCATGGAGAAAGAGGCAAAATGAGAAGACGAAGGAATACATTCCAAGTAGGGGAATAGGACAAAATCCCAGAAAAAGTACTAAATGAAACAGAAATAATCTACCTGACAAAGAGTTCAAACAAATATTCATAAGGATGCTCTCTGGTGTTGGGAGAAGAATAGATGAACACAGTAAGAACTTCAACAAAGAATTGGCAACATCAAGCATACTAACTTCTGTATTATAGGTATTCCAGAAGAAGAGAGAAATAAAGGGGCAGAGAATCTATTTGAAGAAATAATAACTGAAAAC